CCTCCCCTCTTCTCTTTTCATCTCTCTCCCTTTTTCCTTCTCCTTTTCTCCTTTCCCATCTTTCCTCCTCTTCCCCGTGCCCTTCTTTCAGTTCCCCCTTCCTCCCCATTTCCCTTTCACTTACCTTCCCTTTCCTCACCTACCTCCCCTCCCTTTTTCCTACCTTTCCTTCCTATGTACCTATCTCTCCTCTTTCTCTCCGTCTCCTCCCTCTCCTCCTTCCTATCCTACTTAACCTCGTTTTTATCCAACTTCCTTTTCTGCCTTCCTTTCCCCCTCAACTTCCCCTCCCTACTTTCGCTTCCCTTCTCCCTCCTCTCTTCCTCCATCTCGTCTCCCCTTCCTTCTCCCTCTTCTCTTCCTCCCTTTCACCTCTTCCGCCTTTTCTCCCTCCCTCTCCCCCTTCCATATTCCTCCCTTCTTTCCACCCTTTCGACTTCCGCCGTTTCTCCCTCTCCCTCCTCCCTTCTTTTTTTCTTTCCATCCTCCTCTCTTCTCGCTATCTTTCTTCCCATCCTCCCCCTCTTCCCCCTCCATACGACCCCTTTCCCCTCCCCCTCCTCCTTTTCTCCCTTCCTCCCCCTCGTCCCCCTTCTCCTTCCGCCCTTCCCCCTCATCCCCCTCCCTCCTTACTCCCTATCACCCCTTCTCCTCTTCCTCCCTGCCCTCCCACCCCTTCGACTTCCTCCCCGTCGAAATGCAAACACTTTTCAATATTCCTTCGACGAGTCTTTTTGGTTACGAAGACCTCCCGTTGACTGCACTTCGAGACGGAGATACAAAACACCTGCGCCTTGGTCGGAGGAGGCTGGAGAGGGAAGGAGGGAGGGAGGGAGGGAGGGAGGGAGGAGAGGGGAGGGAGGGAGGGAGAGGAGGGAGGAGGAGGAGGGAGGAGGGAGAGGAGGAGGGAGGAGTTGAAGAAAGGTAGGAAACGGAGAATGGAGAGAGAGAGAGAGAGAGAGAGAGAGAGAGAGAGAGAGGGGACTGACTGATTGAGACAGAAAGACAGAATTAAAGAGTCAAAGAGTCGGAGAGAGAGACAGAGACAGACAGACAGAAAAGACAGAGTCAAAGAGTCAAGAGTCAGAGAGAGAGAGAGAGACAGAGACAGAAAGACACACACACAAACAACACAACACACACACACACACACACACACACACACACACACACACACACACACACACACACACACACACACACACACACACACACACACACACACAAACACACAACACACACACACACACACACACACACACACACACACACACACACACACACACACACACACACACACACACACACACACACACACACACACACACACACACACACACACACACAGAGAGAGAGAGAGAGAGAGAGAGAGAGAGAGAGAGAGAGAGAGAGAGAGAGAGAGAGAGAGAGAGAGAGAGAGAGAGAGAGAGAGAGAGAGATAGCATGGAAAAGAAAGAGAAGATAACCAGAAAAAAATATATGAAAAAACTCTACATCACTCGAAGCACCTCCCGTCACCGTCCCATGTAAACAACCTACCACGCATTCCTCGCCCAGCTGACTGACACGCCATTCTTTTCAAACACACAAAACCTCATAATAGAACTCGTGAATCCAACCTTACCAATCATCTAAGCAGCGACGTACAACAACCCCATCCCATGCCGTTCAGAAAGGTCGAAAATACCACCACAGACTATAGGAAAAGCGCCCTTTCTTTCGAGACGAGCGTAAGACGAGTAGCACGGCGCCACCAAACTATTGCTTCATCCAATGTAAACAAAAGGTGACAGCCGACACTTAAGGGACTACGTGGCTAAAGACTGTTGTGCGCCGTGTGCTAATGTGGTTATGTGGAACACCCAGATTACTATAGGAGATTTAAGGGTGTTATATGTTGTGTAAGAATAATTGTGATAGATTAATTATTTATAGTTCTTGAGTTTTATTTTTACGTTCTGAAAGGAATACGTGCCTAATTCTTTTTACGTTTTTCCATTTCTAATTTAACTTTTTCCGCTGCATTGATGCCGTCATTACAATAAGATAATGGACTGTACCAAATATTATGAAATTCAAGATACACGAAAACGAGTTATTGATATAACTATTTAAACGATTTGTAATGTTAAATGAGGTTATCTTGAACATTATGTGATAGAAAGGTACTTCCCCATAGACAGAAATTAAAAAAACAAATGAAGCAACGTTGAATTAACAATAAAGCCAATGGGTATGATGAATAAAAGTATAAAATAATAATAAATGTATGTGACGATCTTAGTGGCACATTAATGATGAGTAAAAACTTCCTTTGCTTTTGTTATTAACAGTCTCGTGTACAATATCATTAGCATTATTAATTACTATTATCATTATGATTATTGTTATCGTCATCATTTCTATTATTATTAGCATTATTATCATGTCATTATCACTACTATTATACTGTTATTACCTAGACTATGCGTTTTTATAATAGGCAAAAAATAAGCAAAAATTGAAGTTCTTATATATGACAGTAATCAAAATGGCAAATCCTTAAGAAAATGACGATTTTTTCACTGATTTTCAGGTAAATACCACAGCAAAACCATCTTAATTGACGTGACCTATTTACCTTATTTTTCGCCGTGCTGTATAAACCTTAACCCTTGCTTTTTTATTTATTATCAGAATTATTATCATTATCATTTTTATCATTATGATCTTTATAATTGTTATCACTGATATTTTTTGTTGTTAATATTGTCTATTAACATTATTACTATTATCAGTATCATCATTATTATTGTTATTCATCATTATTACCTTAACTATTATTGTTATTATTATCAGCATTGCTATTATTTTATCATTAACACTATCATTATAATAATCATCACTTTACATTACGGGAAAATGGGAAACGTGTAAATGATTTCTTAGAAAAGCGCGGGAAATATCCCGGTCGTTTATATAAATCTAAAAAGTCCAGCATTTATTTCAGAATGGTATTTTTGGCGAGGTAAATGCATCTTACTATAAACATACAAGTTTAAAAATAGATGTTTCGCCGATTCATGGCAGATTCTTGCCGCTCATATCACTGTTTTCTTTGGGTAATTTTAAGTGTTGCCTTGCCCTATATCCGATTTTTCCTTATTCTTCTGAGACGCGAGGTTGGCGCGCACACACACACACACACACACACACACACACACACACACACATGTGTGTGTGTGTGTGTGTGTGTGTGTGTGTGTGTGTGTGTGTGTGTGTGTGTGTGTGTGTGTGTGTGTGTGTGTGTGTGTGTGTGTGTGTGTGTGTGTATGTTGTGTGTGTGTGTGGTGTGGTGTATAGTACTCACACACACACACACATACATACATACATATGTGTGTGTGTGTGTACACTCACACACACACATACATACATATGTGTGTGTGTGTGTGTGTGTGTGTGTGTGTGTGGTGTGTGTGTGTGTGTGTGTGTGTGTGTGTGTGTGTGTGTGTGTGTGTGTGTGTGTGTGTGTGTGTGTGTGTGTAGTGTGATTGTGTGTGTGTGTGTGCATATGCATAATAATATATATAATATATATATATATATATATATACATATATGTGTATAAATATATACATATACACATGTGTGTATATGGGTGTAAATATGTGTGTGTATACTGTATATGTATATATACACATGTGTGTGTGTGTGTGTGTGTGTGCGTGTGTTTGTATAGACATATATATACATATGTATATATATATACATATATACACACATACGCACACACACACATACACACACACACAAATATATATATATATATATATATATATATATATATATATATATATATATATATATAGTGTGTGTGTGTGTGTGTGTGTGTGTGTGTGTGTGTGTGTGTGTGTGTGTGTGTGTGTGTGTGTGCGCTTGTGTGTACGTAATTACGTACGTACGAACGTATGTATGCGTATGAGATCATGGGAACCTTAAACTGACACCGATGACGCGCGAATATACGAGGACCATAAATTTTGATAAAAAATGGAGAAAGCGTGAGAAAAAAATCACAGGAGTAGATATTCTGTATTATGAACTCGCACCGATTTTTATTTCTTATTCTTAACCGTATACACGTAGACATATTTTGTTTCATTTTTCCTTTAATGCAAATAATATCATCTTTCCCCATTTCATCTTTGTTTTTTACTCTACGTATTTTTTTTTTCTTTCTTTTCTTCTTTTCTAGATTTTTGAAATGCGGAAAAAGGTGAAATTATATAGTCTAAATGATAAAGATGGTAATAACAGTAGTATACTAATAAAGACAATGATGATGGTAATGAGATGGTGATAGTGATAGTAATGATGCTGATAAAGATGATAGTGATAATAATGATGATGATAATAATAATAACAAAAAAATAAATGAAAATAATAATAATAATGATCATAATGATCATAATCATGACAACAATAATAATAATAACAATTAAAGATGATAGTCCCAATGATAATAAATTTGAATAGTAATACCAACGAAATTAGTAATAATAGTATTAATAATGACAATTATAGTAATAACAGTAACAATATTGATAATGATAGTAATAAAAATAAGAATAATGAAAATGAGAGGAATAATAGTAATAACAATGATAATGATAGTAAAAATAATGTTTGCAATGAGGAAGAAATAATGATAGTAATAATGATAATAGAAATGAAAAAACTAATGAAAACAAAAATATAATAATGATAATGATAACAATAATGAAAAACTATAATAATGAATAGTGAAGATAATGCCAATAAAAAAGCAATAACACCAAAATCAATCACAACAACAATATCAAAACATAACCAAAAATAAATATAAGGACAAAATCCCACCGCTGCCACCAACTTACGAGCGAGAGTGGATGCGCCTGCGTCCTTGGTTCCTCGTCCTGCAACAGCGCTCTGAGGTGGGCGATGTACGAGGTGGCGAGGCGCAGTGTGTCGAGTTTGGAGAGCTTGGTGTCCGCAGGAACCCAGGGGAGGGTTGTCTTCAGGCGTGAGAAGGCTCTGGAGGGAGAAAGACCTTTTTTTCTTATCTGGTGGAGTTGGGTTTGAGTTGGGTTAGATTAGATTGAGTATGATATATTTAATATTGATTGTTTTCATGTGAATTTCTATTGTCTTTTATATTCTTAGATTTAGACTAAGATCTGCTGCATTGTTCCGGAATAGATACCACATACTTAAGTTTCATAAAACTTGATACGGAGATATAAACTTTCAGAGAAACAAAATACTTGATTTGAAAGCTTTGACAGTATATACTTAAGTATCAAAAAAATTATTACTAAGATATCAACTTTTCAGATGCGCGTGTGTGTCTGTATATAACATACTTAAGTTTCATAAAACTTGATACGGAGATATAAACTTTCAGAGAAACAAAATACTTGATTTGAAAGCTTTGACAGTATATTAAATCTTGCCGATGTTTGTGCGCGTGTGTGTGCCCCTGAGTGTATGCATATGCACATGTATCTATTAGTATGTATTTCTACATGTATGAGTATATATACCGTATGTAGATAGGTAACTAGATACACAATATAGCATATATCCCCTGCATACAAAAGCCATCCTACACCAACAGAACAGCAAGACTTACCTTGATAGAATCCTCATCCTCGCTCTCTCCCTGGCGTTGGCTGCATTCCTCTGCACTGGCTTCTCACGCCCACGCCCACCCACGCCCTCGCCCACCTCCTTTTTACGACGGGGCATCCTGCAGGAGAGGAGAAGGTTAAGGATTCTGGATAGTTTTTTTTTCTCTCTCTCTGTCTGTCTGTTTTTTTTTTTTTTTTTTTTGCCTATGTCTGTCTGTTTCTCTCTTTCACTCTCTCTCTCTTTCTTTCTATCTCACTATCTATTTATCTCTCTCTATTTATCTATCTCGCTCTCTCTGGAGATGAACAAATGATCATAACGATATGTATCAATAATAGTGATTTGAGTATCAATAATAATGATAACAACAATTTTGATGATAATAACAAATATCTCTCGTAATGAAGATCTTCTAAATAACAGTAAGATATAATGATATAATATAATAATAATATTAATGATAATGAAAAGACTTTAGTAATGATGATACCAACTGTAATGATAATAAGAGCAACAAGAGTACTGTTAATGATGATAGCAATGATGATGAAGAATAATGTTAATAATGACCGTAATAATGGTTTCAGTAAGAATAGTATTAACAGTAATAACGATAATGGTATCCATGATAATAAGAATGATATGATGATAATAGCAATACGAATATTTTAAACGATTATAAAGATAATGTAAATGATGATAGGAATATAACCAAAAACATCACTGATAATACTAACATAGACCAGGATAATAATTATCTTGATAATGATGATAGAAATGATAGAATGGTAAAATATAATGGCATTGATGATAATAATAATGATAACTAAACTGTTGATGATAAAACAGTGATGACTGATTAATATAATGATAACAGTAATGATAGTGATCATTATCGTCATCATTAAAATGATTGTTATTATTTTCATTTCCTTCTTATTATTGCAATTATCTTCATTAGCCATATCAATATCATTAACATAGTTATTAACGTTATCATTTCATTAGTATCATTAATATTATTATTATCATTGTTAATATTAACATCATTATTCCTATTATAATTGTCTTTATTATCATTATTATTGTCAACATTATTATTATTATAATCATTATTATTACTTTTAATTTTATTATGATCATAATCACTAGTATTATATAATTGTTATTATTATCATTATTACTATCATTATTATTACTATTATCATTATTATTATCATTATCCTCAATATCACTACCATCATTATTATTATCATTATCACTATCATTGTCCCTATCATTATCATTATTATCATCATTATTATCATTACACCATCATCACTGTTATTGCTGTTACTAATATTACCATTATAAAACCCATGATGATTATGAAGCACTAACAACAATGATGAATAAAGGTAATTATAGTACTCATACTGATGGTGGAAATGGCAATAATAATAACAATAATAATTACACTGATGATAATAATTAGAAGCTTTATAGCGTTAAAAATGATAATAACGATAATGGTAATCATAACCATAATAATGAGAATTAATATGATAAAAACGATATAATGATGATAACAATAAAAACAATAAAAACAATGATAATGATAGTAATAGTGATAATGATGATGATTAGTAATGTTAATGATAACAATAACAATAATTACAATGATAACAATTACAATTAGAATATCAACAAAATAATAATAATGATAATGATGATGATAGTAATGATATTGATAATAGGAATAACAATAATGATGATAATAACGACAACAACAATATTAATCGTAATGATGATAGGAACAATAATAAGAGCATAATAAGAATAATGATAATAATGATGATGGCGATAATG